GTAATTGCTTTAATCAGTAATAGTTGTGTTAACCATTTTTTATTGTTTTAGTCTGAATGGACCAGATTGTATAAAAATGAACCGATTAAGTACTGTATACTGGACAGACTGAGAAAAATCATATTTCAAAACTCTTTCAATCCCCCCCAAAAAATAAAAAATAACAAAAATTGAAAAATCAGGTAAGCCAAATAGCTAAATAAATTCAGTTTGGGTGAGGCCCAGGTAATAATTAAGAAAAAAAAAATATTTGCTTTTGTGATTATTCACATCTTAAGTTTATGACTAGCCTTGTATTGTAACTCTGCCTGACTGTTTGTGAGCATTGAAAAATTGTCACTTGTCTGTGATAATTTCTCCAAGCACCAATGTCTGAACCTTACTCTTGGTAATTTCATATACTGTACTGTACAGTATCGTATATATTGACTCAAGCCTCTCTGGCAGTTCATGTGAATTACCATATAAGTACTCACAGTAGAGTATCAGACAGGTGACAATTGTTTTTGACTATCAGTTTTTATTAATTAAATGGATTTGGAAGTTATTTTCCATAAAAATAAGAATGTTGATTGTCAAGATGAAGATCAGTGAGTGTGGCTCCTGATTTGTTTTTTAAGTTGAGAATATAATACTGTATTCCATATTTTACACCAGGTATACACAGGACAGGCATATAATACTGAATTTGGATTTTTGGAGCAAAATTTAATAGTGCCTTGTCAGGCACCCCTTTCAGGTAGAATTGAACATGCTTTTGCAGATTCAGTTATTGTGAAATTTGTGTGAAGTACGTATATACCTATGATATTCTTAAAAAACAAATGTTATTCCATTCCAGTGATTATTATATCTCTTATTGATCAATATCTACAAAAGTCTTTTATTTATTTATTGGTTTATTTCTGCATTATCCATTAGTTGTCTGTATCATCATATTAGCTTTTTATACAGTAATGTCATTAGCTCACTTGAACATGCTTTGTTCCTGAGATTCTACTGGACTGCTCCAGAGTTCTTGCATTTAGGTCACAGCATCACTTTTGATACAGTATTTGCTTAAGTTCAAAGAGAAAATTTAGAGTTGGCAGGGGTTTCCAGGTTGTGTAACGGGGACCTGGGTGTCCCCACATTGCCAAGATGTGAAGAAAATTTAGAAATTTATTTTAAATGGACTACAGTAATGAATTGTAGCTAAAATTGTCTTCATAATACAGGGCATCTCTCTGGGAAGGATGGGGCTAAAATGGTCCCCCACAATATTAGTCAGAGTTGATATATTAATGCATCAAATTTACCAATTACCCTTCCCTCCCCCATCACCCCAAAAGAGGGTGACCGGATGCAACTGATGCCCTCTAGGGGTTAATATATTCTATTAAAGCTGAGTCTGTCCAATCAGCACCAACCATACCAAGGCATCTGTCTGCCAAGTGACACTTGATGTGTGAATCATGTACATGAGATGATGACAGTACTGTACTGTGCATCAGTTGTCATAGGACAGGCAGTGAACACTGTATCTATACCCAGCTACCCTGCTCTATTTTAACAATGCTGTATGTTAAGAAATAAAAGTTCTATAAAGTCAGTTTTATGACAGGACCCTGACAGTCAACCCTATAGTCCAACCATGACTCTTGCCAGCTTTGTTAATAAAATGTTAATAGTTACCATATACAGTATATAGTATTTTTTACCTATTGGGAAATACTCAGAACATCACATTTTCAACTCTCCAATTAGTTTGAGCTATCTAGGCTTTATTGTACACACTGAATAATTTTTTCTTAGGCTTTTAAATGGCCAGTGGTTACTTGTGCACTCAAAGTTAAAAACATCTGAACCCCTCAGGACCAAGCAGTGTGCTGAATTCTAAATGAAATGTACTTTTGAACAGTATGCAATCCAAGTTGTGATATTGTACTGTACAGTATAAACAATAGCTTTGAAAAGTACAGTTAACCCTCACTTTACGCGGTCCCGCATTCCGCGTTTCCACGTTAACGCGGTGCCTTGCCAGAACCTCACGTGCTCACATTACGCGGTACGTGAACCCCATTACGCGGAGTGTCCGGCGCCACGCTATTTTTAGATTCGCCCCACCCGCCCGCCTGCCTGCCTGCCTGCCTCTCCCTCCTCCTCCCTCCGCTTGGGCAAGCGGCGCGGTAAGGTTGCGCAGTGTGTGTCTTTGTTGCGTTATCACTGACGTCATATGACGTATCAGACCTGTGATTGGCCATGCATCCCTACCCCCCTCTGCTGCTAGCTGTAATTGGCTTAAAGTATTATGACGTGTCCACCCGGGGGAGGGAGGAAAGACGACGCTTGACCTAGCCGCGGCAGTTTCATCTCTCAAGGCCACTCCGTGTAAACGCGCATCCATTGTTCCGTAAAATGGCTTCCGCCGGACCACCACCCCCAGAGAGAAACCTTTCCTTACCTGGACCCAGCGGCACTAAACCAAAGAAGACACGACGTTCCTTAAGCTACGAGGTGAAGTATAGCATCATCCAAGAGTTGGAGAAAGGAACAAGGCAGGTTGATTTGGCGCGCCAGCATGGCGTGAACGAATCTACGATCCGGACTATAAAGAAGGATTCAGCCAAGATAAAGGAGCACATGAAGATCACAAAGTCTACAGGTGCTTCTATGATCAAGTATTTTCACAACCAGGTGCTTCTCAAGACAGAAAAATTACTTGTGAGGTACTTGGTGCGTCAGGCGCGACGGAACATGGCGGTCGACACGCGCTCTGTTAAGGACTACGCACGTGAACTGTACATGGCAGTGGCACGAAAGATGGGAACTTCAGAGCCCAAACCCTTTAATGCTTCCTCTGGGTGGTTACAGAGGTTTAAGATCCGGAACAAGATCACCAATATAAACATTGGTGGTGAAGAAGCGAGTGCTGATCGTGCTGCGGCTCGGGAATTTCCTCCGTTTTTACGTGAGATTATGGAGGAAGGACAGTACAGTGACGACCAGGTGTTTAACATGGACGAATCTGGTCTTTTCTGGAAAAAACTACCTTCCAAGTCCTTCGTTGTGAAGAATGCCAGCAGGATTCGGGGCCGGAAAATGCAGAAGGAACGCATCACCGTCCTGTTTACCACCAATGCCTCCGGTACCTGTAAGCTCAAGTTATCGGTGATCCACACAGCCCGCAAGCCGCACGCCTACAAGAGCATGGACATGACCAAGCTAAATGTCCACTGGCTGACCGCACGTAAGGCATGGATGTTCTCTACACTGTCCCTCTCCTGGTTTTGTTTTTGTTCCCGATGTAAAGAAATTCTGTGAGCAACAGAATGTCCCATTTAATATTTTGTTGCTGCTGGACAACGCACCAGGACACTCGCCCCTACTGTTAGATCGTCACCCCAACGTAAAAGTGGTCTTCCTTCCTCCCAACACTATGTCTTTAATCCAGCCCATGGACCAGGAGTTGATTTGCAATGTGAAAGCTGCATTCTCAACAAAAAAATTCCAGCTCCTGAACGACTACACCAACACCAGGGAAGAGTTGCGTAACCTGAGTGACACCACCACCGATAGCAAGAGCGAAGAAGATGAGGATCAACAGTTAGAACAGCAAAAAATACTCTTCAAACAATTCTGGAGAGTATTTAACATCAAGAAAGCTGTGGACTTCTTGGTGGAGTCATGGGATCAGCTGTCTATTGCTACAATTCGTCACGCATGGAGACATGTGTTGCATGGAATACCAGGTGAGAGGAGGAGTCAATCTGTGACTGGTGAGGTTCAGAATGTTGCAGTAGCAGTGGACCTTGCCAGAGAAGCTGCGCAGACTGTTACAGTTCCAGGCTTCTCCGAGACCACCAACGACGACATCCTGGAGGTGATCAGAGATCCTGAAGTGACTGCCGACGAGATGTTGGAAGAACACGTCAGTGAAGAGGAGGAAGAAGGTGCGTCAGTCTCCAAAGAACACAATTTAAGTCATAGTGATATTAAGGGTGCCATGGAGTGTGCAGAGAAGATGAAGTCCTTCCTTTCCCGCGACAATGACGATGACCGCTATGAAGTCTTCCATACCCGGCTGGTGCAGGCTATGGAGCCGTACATCAAGGTGTATCACGACAACATCAACGCCAGCCGTCAGCAAAGCATAACAGATTTCTTCGCCCGCAACCCACCACAGCCAGCCCAAGCCAGTGATAGTGACAGTGAAGTTGACTTTGAGGGATTTGTCAGGGAAGCTCTGACAACTGTAAGTGACAGTGATGGTGATTCACCTGAGGGCCAGTAATCTGCCCTCTGCCTCGGAACCAGCCTCCATCCCCGTATGCCGACCCATCTCTTCAACTACCGTAAGTTACACCTAATTTTTAGTTTTCTAACCTTAAATTTATTTTTCCTATGTTAACCTTTATCTTTCCTAACCTAACCTCTTCTATATTACTTGTTTTTTCATACCATCATAAAGTTAAGATAAAATTTTTACTACAACATAGTTGTGTGTCGTCAAAAAGTGGAGTTTGGGGATCGGCCCGGACTCCATTTCAATTAATCCCATATGTTATGTTATTCACTTTACGCGTTCCTCACTTTCCGCGGTACCCTCCGGGTTACATTAACAGCGTAAAGTGAGGGTTAACTGTAATTTGTATGTAATAAATATAAATACATACACAAATAACTGCAAGGCGACATATATAAAATATAAATGAGTTTTATTATGAGGTATTGTACCTGTACGAGGTTATAGGTGTTTGTGTGTTGCCAAGATATTCCCATTATGCATCGTTTGATGGTCATCTTGACTTGTTAATATGTTTTCCCTCCCCCCACAATGACTTCATGGTAAACATATCACTATCAATTGGTCTTTTCTTGGAAAGAATTGGTAGGCTAAAGATAAACAGCTAATTTTAATGTGCCTGAATAATACTGTACATCATTAAAGTCTGCAGTGTACATGTTCATCATCAAAGATAATGTATTTGACACATCTAAAGGAATTATAAAAGGACTGGTTTATATTGTATCTTGTTTATTCCCATTTATAAATTATAGCCCCAATACAAATCAGTGAATCAATACTGTACAGCAATTTATAATGCAACTAAACAAAATGAAATGCCATAAAATTTGATATACTCCTGAAAATAATTTCCCTAAACTCACAAAAGAAAGTAGCATTTACAGTAATATCATTAAACTAATATGCCAACATCAAAATTGCATCAATACAGCTTTCATATTCAAACTAATCCCCAAGTTTGAAGAAAAACGAACCTGTAAGATAAACAGTACAGTATATAAGGAGGAATGACTCAAACATTACATAAGCTTGTAATGATTGGTGAAACATTATATATGAGGCAAGCCAATGTGGAACTTAAAAAATATATGCAAATCTGGTATATTGGTTTGTTGTCAATTCAGCCAACAGCATTGATCTTATGAGGAGAGCCACATGTTATCAAAATACATGTCAGACAACATAGTAACACTTACAAACTCATAATAGTTATTCTATAGGCCAAAAGAGGTACTGGTCAGACATTTGTGCTTTCAATAAAACCTTCTTCACTGAAACCCACTACAGTATTTAACTGTGAACTTATTTTACATACCACAGTCTCTATAAAATGAGATGGACTGCTTAACAGTTACAGCAAAATTTACTTTATACAGTATCACTTCTTTTATCTGAAGTGAAACTTGCCTACAACATCAATGTCACACCAACAATATTACTGATTACAGTACTTACCTAGTCCAAACATTAGAGGTCCACTTTTTGTGGTATGTACAGTGATGAATGAGTACATGTTCACGTTTTCATTTCAGTCTGGTGTACAAGCACTTAAATTAAAGTTAAATTATAGGGATATATAGCACAAAGGGCAAACTCACCAAAGTGACTTTAGATATACTGTAATTGCACTTAAAGTCTAAGTAATTTAATTTTTGTATATTGTTGGGTAATTTCAATAAATCATACACAAAATTGTTCATCTCAAAGCCCACTTCAATGAATTTAATTCAAAAAGAACATGTGCTTTTTTTAGATTTTTGCCAAATTTATCAAAATAATGACCACTAATTAGCTATCAAATAATTTGCACACAAAATTTGTTATATAAATTGGGTATATGAGTAAATAAAAAATATAATAATCGTCTACCACTCTACACTGGCCAAGGATTTCGCGTCTTATCTTTCCTGATGCTGCCACACCCGGTGAGGCAGCATCACACAAAAAATACGCATTTTCCACCCCTCGCCAAACCTATTTCAAGGTCCCCTTTGTCTTAGAAGCTCTCACCATCTGGTAGCTTCTATTGTATCCTCGGGGAATCCACAGAAAACGGAAAATTGGCGATTTTACCCTTTGTGTTATATATATCTTGTATGCAATCCCCCTTGACATAGGTCATGTTACAAGAAAAATTTTTTTTTAGCATAGTATCATGTGATAAGCTAAACAAATGCCTGACCTCATGTTCACCTTCATTCCCAAGAAAAAGTCAAGGTGGAGAAGGCAATCAAGATTTTTTATTACCTCTTTCTACAAAATACCATATATCGTACAGTACAATACATAAAAAGGAAGCCTGTGTTTCAAAATTTGCCCCCAGATTATGAGGAAGCAATTGGCTATAATGCCACCAATAAATTCAATTCAAGCTGCTGTTAGTTGGAGTATGTATAAAAAGGAGATGAGAACTGCAGGAACATCATACAATTAAATTTGCTCCATTTCTATTGTGCAATCCACCTGTAGACATTCAGTGAAAAGAAAAATATAGACTTTACAGGAGCATAATGCAGGAGCTGTAAAGGGTAGAATCTTCAAATGCAAATTCACCCTGTACTTATTTCCTTATAGGAAACAGTCTTTAAATAAAAACTGAAAATGAGTCGAGTATAACTAAAGTTCCTGTAATAAAACCATTAACTGATTGGAGATATGTGCCACACAACAATAGAGAACACTATACCACTACACCATAGTAAAACTACAAAATATGGCTGTGAGGTGAAAGTTAAATATGCTTTCCTAGAAATTATCAAATTTTCCTGAGAAAGATCCTACATATTCCAGAAGGTAAATAAAATAATCTTGGAGCAATATCCTCTTCCTCAAAAAGAGGTACTGGTACCTATTTGGTCTATCTTCGATACCCTAATTTTCCTATGGTCAACTGGACCAGCACATATTCAAAAGCCTCAGGTAAACTGAAAGATTTATAAAATGTTAAATAAAAAAATTTATAATAGAAAAATAAGTTAAAAAAAAAGGAGGGGGAGGAAAAGGGTAACTTGGAGCCAGATTAGATGAAATTTTTTGGCCAGTAACACCTATTCCTATGAGCCCACCAACAGTCCCTATTCCCACTCCTCTCCAAGACCATCAATGCTCATTTCCTCCCAACTACCTGTCAATTTCAGTTTTGTCACGCATTTCATTTACCCAGCATCAAAATGCCCTAACTTAGGACCCAAACTTAAAAATGTTCTTTTTGTTGGGATGGACATTTTGCACTCATCCTATCGTAGTTCACAGGACTGTACATTTGGAAAAATAATAAAGGGAATACTGTATATCCAAGAACTGCAATGCAAAAGCACTACTTGATGGATGAACATGCAGAGTGAGGTAGGAACATTAAGAATCCTCCCTCTGCATGACAATGTAGTTGCACTTCACATAGCTAAGAGGAACTTAATAAACCAGCAATGCCATAATGAAACAAAACTAATTGAAGTGAAGACACCTTGTAGTGAATTTAGATTTTCTGTTACAATAATGATTATTACATTGTCTTCATTCTCCATTTAAAAGTACTGCACAGAGGTGAGTACACTTGACTGCCATGTGCATTTACACTATGTACTAAATGGCAACAATACAGCCACTAACACCATTTGCTGCCACCGCCACTCATTTATAAATGTGCCTTAATTTATATATACGTAGACACAGTATTTAGTTCTGCGGTGCACAAATAAATACTACAGTATATTTAACATGGATTTTTCCTTATACTGTATCAATAATTAAAATGTGTTTTCATTCTCCCTTGAACAGTACTGTACAGTTAGCATTACACTTGAGTACCATATACAGTACACTGCTGATATTATAATACACCATAAATTTCAAGATCCCAAATCAATTTATAACAGGAATCTTAAAAAGATCAGCTATCCGAAGAGGTCTTGGTCCCAAGACTTTCGAAGTGGAGAGGTTCTAAATCAGAGGTAGGCAACCTGTGGGCCACATGTGGGTTAGGTTACTTGTTTCTTTTGCTTTTATTATTTGAAGCTGATGACAATTCTATTAAGTGATAAACTTTTTCTTAACTCATTAAGAAATATTTGGCCTGCTTTAAATGTATTTATGGTTATCTGTGGGGTCATGGTCAGTGCATGTACCAAAATTCAATCTTGTGACCTACCGAGATGAAGTGGGGCCACTCACGCGGCCCCCTCACTAGCCTAGGTTGCCCATCACTTCTAGATTCTACTGTGTGTGTGTGTGTGTGTTGCCTGAAAACCTTTTCCCAGTATACAGTACAGTACAGTGGAAGAAGGCACTTGGGCTGTACAGTAATACAGTAGAAATATTTTCTGAAATATTGAAAATAATTTGCCCTCTTATAAAGAAAGCACATCATTGTGAGATGATTTGTTTAGAATACTATGCATACCACTCACCAGAATAGAGCGACTTCCACTATTCATCAAAATCAAAGTAATCTATGGGTGGTGGTTTGTTGGCTGTAGATTCACTCTCCTTCTTAGTGTTCGACTTTTCTAGCTTTTGCATTCCTTGTCGGTTGTCACTGTAAAATGTAAAGTTCTTCAATTATAATTACAATATATCTGATCACAATATCAATATCATGTTAACTACTTATTTCTACACAGCAAAGCATCTAGATGGTAGATGACCATAATATGTAAAATATAGGCATTAGAAAAAATCCCTTATGATTGCTAGAGATGAATGTGTTAATCAATAAACTTTACTTGACAGAAGGACATAATACCCATACACACTATGCTTTACAGAATACTGTACATCTATTCTCACTCTGATTCAAAGTCAGAGCCAAAGTAAAGCCTGTAAAATTAAGACAACTCAAAACTGTCTCCATTCTGATAAACAGTAATTTGAAACATAAGGGATTAGGCACGTCCAGGTGATTGCCAAGCATTACAAGGCATTGCTCTATTCCCAAACAACACATTTGTCCTGACATTAATTTCCATAAAAACCACACCTACAGTTAGCAAATTGCAAATCTTAGGCATCAAAGGAAAGACCAAGATGAGCAGAAGAATTTAACATCTCCAATTGGCTTAACCATTTACCTGGAATATAAAGAGTTAATCAATTTATATTTTGGGCCCCAGTCACTAAGTAGACAGAGGCAAATGGTACCATGAAACTGTACCACATTTCCACCCAACCTAGAAAGTGAAATAAGAATGCCATCTACAATACCACAGGTCAGCATAAATATTCCCAAACCTCCATCCACCCACAGCCCCAACACATACCTGACCGTAGGCTTCAGAGTCCAGACAGGAGCAGGAACCTTCCTTTGGCCTTGCTCTCGAAGTGTGAGAGTCAACACACTCACAGGCGGCAGGTAACACTGGTACACAAAATATTCAAAATATATTACAAGAGAAAGCAAAAATACTACATATTTTAATTCACTCTTATCATATAACTAAATAAAATTACATACATATGATACACACTCTTGGCATCTGAGAGTTAACTTGCAAAGCCTACAATGTAATTTAAAATGGAAGTTCATGAAAGCAAAACAAAATAAAACCAAAGTTCACAGAAAATTGCTCTCCATATCGATTTTTTTTTTTTGCATAACTGGGTTAACAGCATACAGTATATTCATATCTTCATCAGTTTCTTTCATATAGCCATCCCCAATCTTAATTTGTATTTACCCTTTGTACAAGATATATAATGTACTGTACTGTATACCTATACTCAAGTATAGTTTAAGTTTCATGACAAAATCTTTATGCATTTCCGCAGGTCATTTCTGTTGAACAATAGTTACCCGGGACATGCTCTCTGTAGGCTAACCTTGCCAAACTGTGAGGGGTTACGGTTATTTTTCGTCTCGTAATACAGTACTTGTAGCGAGTATATTTTACACATGAACAAAATTAATTCTTCAAAAATCACCCTAAATCATGCAATCAAGTTATTTGCCATGCACATGCTGACTCAAGAAACAAAAACTGTTAAGTCATCTTTCATTCATTAGCTTCTGCTCTATCCAGCTTATCTGCATATGCATCTTGTTCACACTTCTTAGCCATGTTAACCTTTTTTCTAGCCATGCATTTGGTCTCCAGGCGCTCTTCCTTATCACCACCCATCTTCCAGGCTTTATCCATTATACTTTTCTCCTTAACCACTCTATTCACTTCACCATTACACCACCATGTTACTGCAGGTATGGTTGGGATCTTTGACCAGCCACACAGAACAAAACTTCCTTTGATTTGGCCCATCATCTCATTACAATACCCCTCACACTGTCTGCTAGCTATTTTCACTCTTCCTTTACATTCTGTTCCTTCAATGTGCACACACCCCTTAAAACATAAACCTTCTTCTATTTGTTTCTAAATTGTTCACATGCAAAACATCCACAATACAGTACACTATAATATTTGCAAATATTTAGTGTTAATAAGTAAATTGTTTTCCTACGAATTAGGGCAACAGTGTTTATATACTAAATGAAACAGAAGTTAAGACTGTAGCACTGCTTACCATTCCCCGTACAGCTGTGGCAACTATATTCTTCTTGGGCTCTTCATCATATGATTGACTTTGGCATCCAAAATGCTCACAATATTCATGGACAAATTGACGTTTTTCTCGGTTCATTGGAGCAAATGAATGGATGCAACTTTTTTGTTTGGACTGAGAGAAAAAGATCATTCAATGCATTAGTATCCTTATGGCAAGTGGATCTATCTTATCATTATAAAAATATATAAATTACTAAGAAAAAATAAAGAATTGCAGGAACAATCCCTATTTAACTATTTACTGACTACAGGCCACTTCTAATAACAAAGAACAGGGTAGGTGTAACAAGTACCATACGATAAAGAAGACTACAATATACAAACTTATGTTGTAATACTGTACTTTTTTAAATTTCAGATTTTCCCATTTTCAATCTTAACAAATACAGATTCAAACATCTGAAATCATCTACATCTCCAATTTCTCTCCAATCAATTTACAATAACACTGAGGTTGTTAATCTCCGTCTTATTACAGTAATAACATTAATCAATTTGCCGTACCTCTTTGGCCTTCAAGACCAAATCAGTTAGTGCATCATGAACCATCTTGGCAAGATTTGGATCCTTACGAGCCTCATCCTTCATGAAATCCGAGTAGAGGATATTCGAGTGACCAAGCTTCTCTCGGGCCTCAGGGTTCTCTATTTGCAGTGCCAAAGCCAATCGTCGGTTGCGCTCTGCTGTCTGACACTCCTCATTACATGGCAATCTACAAGTTGCACACATAACAACATTGCATTAAAAAGAGTTATAGCTACAGCATTGTCCAACCAAATTCAATTACTGTACAGTATTATAAAAGCTACATGAATGGTATTTTCAGTTTTCAATTTTTTTTGTTTGTAAACTGTTCTCTAAAAATAAGGCACAGGACAAAATTACCTAAATGATTGTTTAACTGACTGAATTGGACAACAAATTAAAGTTCTTATAAATTATGGATTGAAGAAAGAACTCCTATCCTATAACCAGAGGGAAGAAACAAGTGACCTGTAAGATGACTCAACCATTAATCAATACAGTATATACTAACTCTTCAGCTTACTTTACTCTACACATGTCATCCTTCTTTATTGAAATTGTAAACATTATCAAACGGCTTACCTTTTGAGCTTGTCAGGTCTTGCGGTAGCAGTAAATATATCAGACAAGTCAACAGAGCATCCATTGTTCATGTTCTGCATCTGGGAGGCCAATAAGGAAGTAGCAAGAGTGCGATACTCCCTATCATTATCTGAGCACTGCAGAGTCGCCTTGCGATGCCCACATTCACAAGAAATTTTAACCTGCAAATATAAATATTGTCATTATTCTATAAAAGTAAATGAGTCCATTTCCTCTTGATACCAGCCAGTCTATCCATAGCACTGCAGAAAAAGACTTGAAATCGGTACTGTACTAGTCTCAAGCGTGTCACCTCCATATCTTTTAATCTAAATCTTCTTGCAGTTGGAGTTCATGCTTCACATCCATACAGTAATGTCAGCCCAACTATTCCCTTAGGAGTACCCATCTTTGCAGCCTTTGATACTGTTCTTTTTCTATATATATTTTTATCAGTGCACATAATACCTTATTTTCTCCTAGCTCCTCTGATTCCATTCACTGACACATCACTCCAATGTATTCATGAAATGGTTCACTTCCTCCACTATGTCTCAACTTAAAATACATATCACATCTCCCTGCTTTCCTTATTTTATCAATAATACAATTTCTCTTACTGTATATTTTTTCCACACTCATTCACTCACAATTAAAACTGTTCTTCTGAATCACTAATCCAGCAGAGCTACAGCATCTGCAAACAACAGCTGATTCACTTCCTATTTGCACCCCTATTACTGCCACATATGACACACATTTACTCTTCACACAACATTCAACTATTTCCCAATTATCTATTCCACTTTGTCCCTCAAACATTACTTTTCTGTCACTTATCTCGTGCTTTTTCCAGATCAATAATGCTGAAAGTTTCTAACCTTTCTCAAGATACATTTTATTCACACTTCATAAGACATATAGTTGATCACCATAACCACAGCCTCATTCTTTTCTAACCCCGCACTGTGCTTCCCCCAATACACATTCAGTATGTGCCACAATTCTCTTAATTATCCAAGTAAGCTTAATAACTTCATTGCTCTAGAATTTTCACTTTCATTTTTACCAGCCATTATTTCTATATTATGCAACAATCAATTTAACTTAAGTAACGAATACTGTATCACATACTGTACTGTACTGTACTTCTATCTATCTAATACCATCCAATTATATATTTTATATCCATGTATTTACCTTGTACAGTATTATCATCTATTCCTCCCACTCACCGTTTATGTATTAGACAGGTCTTTAAATACAAGCAGTAACCTCCACTAACCAATAAAACTTACCATCTCCTTGCAGGATGTGTCTGGACATAGCCCAGAATGGCAGGGGTTAGCACAGGGATGACCACAGGTGTCTCGAGGCTTTAAACACTTTTGTATACACAACGTTCCTTCTGGTACACATGGACGCTCATGGCATACACGCTGACACTTATGTAATCCACACGGTAAGGGAAAGCCACAAACGCCTCCACATGAAACAGCGGTCAAGTAGCAGAGGGTGCGGCGCATGAGCTGAGAAAGAGAGTCATGTATGAGGCAAGTGTATCTGAAAAAAAATTATAGTTAACCTTTTTCCTCCTTTACAATGTGATCCTAAACACAAGAATAATTCTTTGTAGTTGATCATATCAAAATCACCAATCATCTTATCTGTGAAGCTGCAAAAATAGCAAAAGCTCTTACCTTGTGATTTCCAAAACATTGCTTATCTACAAGCATTGTGCAAGGGGGGCAGGGTTCATCTGGATGGCAGAGGTGGGATGCTTCATGAGGACAGTTTTGGGAGCGGCGGCATGGATTTTCACAGGCTGGGGGTTTGGTTCCACAAGGCACAGGTGGGTAAATCACAGATGCCCCACAGTGACAGGTAAGCTCCTCAAAACTTGTTTGCCAGCATCTAAAACACAAAAACCATAAATTAGGTGACTTGTATGGGTTAGCCAAATATACATATAAATGTAAACATACCTAGGATCGTATGAGACACAGGAAATATATTCCTGTGACTTATCAAATTTGATAAGGTTACAATCTTTCTTTGTCTACTTAAATCTGCTCTAACGATGTATCTACCTTGGACAGTTGCCACGGTGACATGGTTCCTCACACTTATGTAGTCCACAGCTCAACATTCTCCCACACACCAGAGTGCACAAGTGATCCACATCTATACAGCATCTGGTGGCGCATTTATGTCGGCTACAGTGACGCATCTGTTAGAGAAATCACAGTTTTAAATCTATTAAAGGATACTCCATTAACATATATAGATCAGAAAATACTCAAGACAGGAAAATTCATGGAGCATTGAAAAGTTTTAATTTTTTGTTTCGTCAAGCCCAAAACGAAACAATCATATTATGGTTAAAAAACATGTACTCGGAGGGAGGGGCTTTCCAGTGAATCCAAGTACAAATACAAAAGGAAAGGACCCTTGTTGGCTAAATATGCATTGTCAGGCAAATGAATGACTTGTAAACAAAGCTGCTGCTGACTGTAGTATCACTGTGTGGAGTGGCCACTATTCCACTTCCCACCCTTGTCATTTCAACAATAATCCCTTCTACCTCCAATACCTTATCATTCTTGAGCTTATGTACTGGTTGTCTCACTTTATCCTCCCTTATTACTTTCTCATTTTTACCTCTGAGACTGACAAATCCACCAAAACCATAACAAATTTAAGCTTGACACATATTGTGGGTGGAACTACTCTACAGTTGCATGTTTGCTTTGATCAGAGGAACATAATTTTTATCAACTCCTCAAATGTAATGAAAAGTTAGTAAAATTCAAGTTAAGAAAATTTTTTTTTTAAATAAAACACAGTACTGTACAATGAATTGATGGTTGTGAGATTCTCTTGCAAATGACGAGAAAGAAGACAAAATAATTAACTTCCACAAAAATCATTCCTCCTTCTAGTGTTTCCATAGCAACCTAATCAACACCTTTATAATCAAATAATACCAACATTACAGAAACTCTAAATCAAACAAGAAAAGACTGTTTACCTTTTTACATGGCTTCTTACAAGTTACTTCATCAGCTTTAGCTGTCAATTCAGAGCACAATACATTGCGGTCCATAGCACCACAACGACATTTGACTGGAGTTTCCAGAGGACATGATGGGCATGGGCCTTCATGGCACAGTGCCTGACACTCATGATATGATCCTGGCACACCGCACTTGAGGATCCGCTGACATGGTTGGCTACAGGTGGGTATGAGATCTGTGCAGGACTTTCGTTGAATTGCTCCATCTCGTTCATACAATTTCTCTAAGGGGACCTAAGAAAATAAAATACTGTAGTCAGTAAATTCAAACTAAAAGTGTCTTTAAAACCTGTCTTGTGATAAATGTTTTCCCTACTTTTCATCTGTTCTTCTTTTGCATTCTTTGGCCTATTTCCTTACCTTCTCTCTGTATCTCCCTATGCTCCTCCTCTCTATCATTATTCCTTCCTTGCAATTAGTACTCAAACACCCTTCTCTTCTCCTTAATTCACATAGCCAATTTCTTATTCTTTAATTCCCTTTCCTTGTTTTTCATTACCATAATCTTTAATTCACAAAACTCACCTACAATTTCAAAAACTGACTTCTTGAGCTGTTCCTATTCAACTCTTCTCCTTTCATCCCTATTCATATGTGCCCAACATATCTCTCCAGTTATTTCATATCAAGTGAACTGTACTGCGTAACTCACTTTGCCACAGGGACAGCGTGTGATGGTATTGACTGCTCTCTTACATGGTTGGCAGTCCCCTGGGTGACACAATACCTCACAATAATGATTACCACACTCCAAGAGGCGGCGGCATTTCTCCTCACATCCGTACTCAGTTATGCTGAATGTTTCTTTGGTGCAGGAAACTTCACGACTCTCTTTTCCACAATGGCATCCTAGGAGTAATTTCTTTCCATAAATTGAAAGAACAACCAGAATTATATACAAAAATTCAAAAATTTATTATGTATCTAAAAATTATCATGACAATACTCTGCAAGAAAAAAAAATCCTCTTCTCTTTCACCCTTGACAAATTTAACAAAATTCTTAAAATCTTAATGTAAGAATGGTCATCAAAATGAAGAAATTCTTACCCTTTCTGAGTGTTGTAACTGAGAGTTAAGGACAACAATGTGTGAAGTGTTTGCTGACCTAAACATCTGGAAATGAGTCTTCCCAAGTCAATACAAGTAAGTGGTCACTGTAATATATACTGTACTGGTCACTGGAAAAATCAAGATCATATACAGTATGATTTGTCCACTTAATGTGATATCTTACTTTGTTGGATCTGGTGTTCACAGTCTACACATTGTCCTTTATGGCAGGATTTCTCGCATGTGTGGCCCTCACAGTTGAGTAACTTCCCACACACTCCATCACAGATAAATGGTTCTGTCACGCTACACTTTACTTCACGGGTTTCTGCTCCACAGGGACACAACCTTACAGGGTGAGATCAAGTTGAAATGACACTGAACAACTACTGTATGACATTCACATGACTAAACAAAATTCACATTAAATTTCGGATTTAGTCTTGAAATCACATAAGTTGTTGAAACTGCAGAAAAGGAATTTGGAAAATTAATTATGTACCATATGTTATCTATTGTTGTTAAGATTTAAACTTACCTTTTAATAAAGGCTGAGCAAGGTGGACATGGTCCTGGATGGCAAAGGATATTACATTTGTGTTTACACCATTCAATCTTGCGATTCCGGCCACATATCTCTCCACAGGAATGAGCCATGTCACGTCGATTCCACTCAGGTTCTCGCATTTTTGCACAGAAGCATCTGTAAGCATTTGGGACCTTTGGGGTAGAGCCTTGGCAGGCAGGGCATCTCCAACCAGTATCTGAAAGTACAGTAGACCCTTGATAAAAAATGATGTGTCATGATCGAGTGATGATGATCTGGGGAGCCCTACAAGAGGCCCCAACTGACCAGTGATGGTGTTCCAATGCCCCTACAATTATACAGTATATGGTATTTGTAGATGTCAAATTTGGGGTTTTGTTGATGGAGGCAATAGCTGGAGACATGTATACATTATGTGTAAAGGGGAAATGGAAAATGACAAGGCTAGCCCAGTGATACGGAGGAGGAAAGAGGGCCTCATAGGTCATGAATGTAAGCTAATGTCTATAGTCCACAACATAAAATATTTATGCCCATCTTTTATGTACTTCTTCTTCCAATAGCATCATATTACTGCTTCTTATGAATGAAGAAAGCTTGATATACAGAAAGACAGAACAGGATTGACTCATCAACATGGAATAAGAAAACTTTCATTATCAGAAGTATGACTTGGGGAATCTGTCAAATCATGGTAAGGCTGATATAATGAAAGGTTATAAAATCGAAATGTTTTTAATGAACAAAACTAAGAAAACCACCAAAGCAACAAAGGACTGAATGTACAGTTGTCCACAGATACAGTATAGTGTTCCACACCTCAGAGGAAAGGCCACCGTACAATTACCGATGCTCTACCCAGTGAAGGAAAACTTTTTATAACTGTGCAAAGTATTTAAAAAGTGCAGCTCAACTTATATTTGATATGGTATAGGTTATATCACACAGTAGCTATTTAGAGTCCAAGTGTCAAGGTAAGGAGTTTAGATTAAAGTCATCTTATGGAGAAAAACAGTATTAGTCTAAGGCAGCGGTACCCAACCTCAGGCCGTGACCCAAATCAAGGTCACGGGGTGTCCTCAGTAGGGTCGCGAGGGGCCCTCAGACAATTTAAAAAATATAGTACTTATCAGTCAAACAAATTTTTGCTTAACATTCAAGCTATACTGTATAATATATTATATGCCTGAGGGTTACGAATTCGTATTGTTGGGAAATCTAGGGTCGCAGCCAAAAAAGGTTGGGAACCACTGGTCTACGGTATAAGGTAAAACTCACCCCCAGTAGAACTTTTGGCCCACTTCTTAATGCATCCCAGGTGGAAACAGTTATAACAGTTGACACACGACCATATAGCGTGCTGCTGCTTGATGCGGTCACAGCACACCATACATTCATACGCTCCCTTCATTAGCTGTTCCATTAAGCGGTCGCGCTGCGTCTCCTCGTCCTCGTTACCTCCGGTCACGGGACTGCAGGAGGACGTCGAACTGTCTTCCTTCGCCGACTGGTTCTCTTTCTTAGCGTTCCTACTACCAGGATCACTGCTAGGACTGCTGCTACTATCACTGTTACCCCAAAGTCTTTTATCTTGTCTTCCTCGACCACCTCCCCTAGTTGGCTTAACGCTTGCCGTCTGTCTAAAGTTAACTGCCTTACCCTCGTCCGGATCATGGACCTTGTTTGTCTCCCAACTACGTTCATTGTTTTCGAAAGTCCTGCCTCCATCTTGGCCATAATTTCGCCACTTTCCCCGACCACGATTGCTGGACCTGTCATTTCTCTGTGGCTTATCGTAAATGTCATTCTGTTCGAGATATCTATTATGTACTTCACTGTGACCCTTTTCGTCATCTGTCCTCACTTGCCGATTCATCCATTCTTTCCCTTGCTTCTCTTCACCGAAATAGTCCCTTTGTTGACGCCTGCTGCCTCCTCCACGTGCTCCTCCTCGGTCCTGTCTTCCCCAACCACCTCTACTTCTCCTTTCATTATTAATATTATCTTCCTTGGGGTTTACATTACCTGTACCTCCTTTCATAATACTTAAGTTTTTCATAAATGCGGCTGTCTCCACAAGGGCAGTGTCTCGATCGCGCCTCCTCTCATCTGCATTGTTGGCTCGACTATCGTACCTGCCATAATTATTACTGGAGTTTTGTGTGTTACTGTAAACTTGGCCAGACTTATCTCCTCCATAACCCCTCCTACTGCCTCGTCGTCCTTGTCCTCCACGCCCCCGTGTTGATCCCTTTGACTTGACTCCGCCGTCACTTGAATTCCCCTGACCAACTTTATCACCATAAAAACCATGAACAAAATTTTCATTGGCATTATTACTGGTTGAATTATCCTCTACAGGTGCACTATTAGAGAAATAATTGGTAGAAGATCTTGGGATTTTTTCAACGTCTCTTTCAACATTAGCTGCCTTTTCTTCAGTGGGACCATTAACTGAAGCACCATTCACTTCAGCCCTGGAAGATCCAATCTGCTCTGGGTTAACAGTAAGGTAATTCACACTTGCATCTACACTAAACCCATGCCTTGAACTCTGCTCTCCTGGGCTGTATTGCCTGCTGCCCTCAGAACAATACTCTGCACTGGGAGACATAGGAGTATGGTTGGCATTAAAATTTGAGTAGTTATTGTCAAAAGGTACATGGGTTGTGGTGTTGCTTGGCATCACACAGTTGGACTGGTACTGCATATTAGTCCTATCCTGGAATGGCACATTTCCTTGATACTGATTATTGCCGTGATAGTGGGTGTTGGCTTCATAGCGTGCACCAGCAGAGAAGTGGGAGTTGCCAGGATATGGAGTATTATCCTGGTACTGAGTATACTGCATGCCTCTCTGGAATGATGGCATATACATCTCCTGGGGTGGTCCTTGGTATGTGGCCATTGGTACAGGTGGATAGGGGACTAATGGTGGGGGATAGCTGAGGTTATAATAACCCACCCCCCGCCTGGGATGCCGGCCACCGCTGCCTTCTGCCATGTTATTTTTCTGAAATCTAGAAAGACATAAGGATGAAACATTTATCCCAGTTATGTAAAACTTATGTCTAAAATTTTCCCATTCACTATAGAACCTGAACACCTTTAAAGATTTAAATGCTTCAGCTAAGTATTAGATAAAATATGAATGCCTTATCAACAGCCCTACTCATGGAAAAACTAACATCTAAAAACCAATTACCCATGTACAGCATTCACTGATCAGTGAGGAACTTACAAACTTAAAGGGAAGGAGTGTTACCATCTTCACTAAATCCTACCCCTAATTACAAGTAATGAAAATAATTAGGTTAGCAAGACATAAGGAAACAGAAATTCAAAATAAATTCACATACCGGTACACATCAGTCTATGAGTAACAAGCTTCTTCAGACCCTAATTTTTGTTGGATCTGTAGGAATTTACCTCATGAAAAATAATTTCCTGTATTTGCATAATATAGCAGTATCTGGTACTTTGGGAAGTTCCCAGACTTGCTGAATGCAAACAATGAAGTGCATGATTTTATACCCATTAATTATAAGATTAACCCCCAAAACTTGCTTCTTGCTCGAGGAAAAGCAACTTACAACACAAGTAATGGCTTAATAGACTGAGACTTAGTACACTCATTTCTTTTTACTTTTACTTTTATCCTCTTCGCCACTGATCGACTCATTAGCCACTTGGGCTATCGGTCACGTCTCTGTTACGCTTCACACAAAAGGAGAGAAAAGAGAGATTTAATAGAAACCTTCAAGACAATGAAAGGTGCAGCAAAAGTAAACAAAACCAATACTTCCATCAAAACCTAAATAAGCTAAGAGAGAATTACTACAAAATCTTCAACAAACAACTCCACACCAATTTTTAAGTAACTTGTTTCTCACAATGACTGGTGGAACCTTGGAACAACCTGAATAGGATAGTAACAAAATTGACAAAGTGAATCAAGAAAAACGACAATGAAATACTATAGACTGTACAGCACAAAACCAACACTAAAACTATAGTAAAATATGACTAGTTTCTGAGGTGAGCTAAAAAGCATAAATAGGTGCACAGTCGTCTCAATTATTTATATATACTGCACTGGTAAGTTAATAATTCTGTACCTTAGTGTTACCAAATTACAAACACAGTAATGAGTAAACCCGGCTGTCAAAACTTAGAATCTATAAAATATTACAGTACAGCATATGTTTTCACGTGACGACCTGACTTGTGTAGCTCCCTATGACCTGAGGTACAATGACTCGCCCTGTTGTAAAGGCGAGGGTGGCAACAGATAATGCATTATCATGATATCAAGTGGTGGCCGTCCTCCTTAACAAGTTACAGGTGTCCCTCCTGACCAACCTGGTGCAGCTTCCACGAGGCCACCATACACTCTCTACCTTACTATATGATGCAATAACATAAGTAAAGGATAACCCACCAGCTGGGATCACCACTAGGAAGCATGGTGTGGTGGCGTGACGCAACCAGAGAATTAACAAGAAGATGTGTCTGGCTGAGGAGAGAGAGGTGATGTGTTGCACTGAGCCGTCACCTCCCTCACCAGGACCACCACCACAGTCACCACCACCCCTTGGTTTTTTTATTTTATCTCATATACCTTCACTTATTCTCATACTAATTAATTATTTATGAATAGAAACAAATTTAAGTTAATTATTTCGCTTATATATTTATAAATTTCTTCATTTCATTGAAAATTATTATTCTGTAATTCATAGTTATAAATCTTGAATTAAGAAGGGAGAGAAGTGTCACAACCAACCTGACACTGTTAACAAAATATTTTATCATTTATAATTATATCGTTAATAATTAATAATTTTACTTATCATAAAAATATTCACACAAGCTTTTAGGATGAAACTAACAAGTTAATGAATGATGTCTTCAAGGAGACTCAAACGTTGGTTGTTGACGTTAGTGTTGATGAGTGGCCGGGGTGTGTGGCCTACTGTCCCTCTTGAGTTATTGAAGTGAAGATTACACCTCCCTACTGACGCTGAGGAACCTGAATGACGCCCCTTAAGTCACTGTGTAACTCTTCACCAAGATGTCAGTCGTGATAGAGACCACTGTGGGGGATATCACTCTGGATTTATTCACAGATGCCAGACCCAGGAGTAAGTGTTGTCTCATCAGCATTAGGAGTTATTTTGTTGTAATATAGTGTTTGTAGTATTCATTAAAATAGACAGACTCATCTTAACTAGTCATATTAAGTTTATCATGCCATATTAGTTCATGAATTTTAAATGTGAGCGTATACCTGGGAGTATCTTACCATTCTTACTCTTATGTACTAGGTAGTTGTATTAGTCTGGAACACCAACTCATGATAAGGAGCACCTTTGAGAAACATGTTTATAGAGAAACCTTTTTCCCTCTAGAATATAAAAAAGTGGAAAAATTGCAACTTTCGTACTTGTGTTTTCAATTTTTTTCATCCTGAACACAAATGAACATTGACGCGCTAGCTTCGTGTGATGCTAATTTTAACGTTTATTGTTAGTGCCAGAAGACAAACATTTCATAGACATTCATGCTTCCATTCCATATACTTTAGAACATTTGTGTATAGATGATTACAATGTTTCACTTTTGTTAATAATATATCAACAAATAACAAAGATTTACAGTTCTTTTTTTTTTTAGTTTGGTGATTTTGCCCTAAATAGCATTTGGTCATACATACAAATACTTCTCTGCAACTGGTGAAATATCATACATAAAATAAACCAACCAATTACTGTATGTACCATAGCTGAAATGTGAAAGGAAAGTCAACTACCCCCCCTGTACTGCACTGTATTAGTTATATACAGTACTTAGTATTCTGCTCAATAGCAATAAAACAGTACAATAATACTGTACTATAGTTTACAATAGCATGTGTTATTATAAACCACTTTAGGAAAAAACATGATTGAAGAAAACTTATTTTTTTTACTTTTCTATAAAAGAAAGAATGAATTGCAGCTTTGCTGCTTTTGTTTTTTATGGTATTTCGTACAAGGAAATTTGGGGCGGACATCGTCGCAGCCATGTTTAAGGTTAAAACTTTTGACGTGCTGGCCAGCAAAGGGATTCTAATACTAAGCAACCTTTCCAGGAAATTCTCCATATTAAGTGTTGATAACAAAATAACACCCTATCCAACTTGCCAAACCTATCCTAAAATACTGTACTTCCGTCATAGGATTGGTATAATAGGTTAGCTTAGGTTGGTTGGTTGGTTTGTCTTAATTACGATAATTCATCGGTGGTAGATGGACACTGGGGACTGTTCATGAGTATGAGGAGACAAACTAATAATATGAAAATTGCCTTAAAACCTGATTATTTGTTGGTATTTATTTATTTAAGGTAACAACTTTCTGTATAATTACCACTACAAAAATTTTCCAAAGGTGCTGCTGCCAATTTTTTATGGGCACAGATGTTTGTCTTATAGAGCTCTCATTGATAATAGCAGTGCTCAGAGGTGGCAGCTCCACCAGAGTTAATTCTGTTACAAAAAAGTTAGAAAAACATAAAGTAGGAAAGTTGCAATTCCTCCAAACTTTGATTGATAAACAAAAGTTAAGAAACAAGCTCTGTTCTGTAGAGTTTTTATCCAAAAGCTACTCATAATAATACGAGTTGTTGTAAACTGGTAATGTACCAATAAAACTTTTGCTGTAATGTTGAGAATATATAAACAAGAGTGGGTTTTGAAAATTCATCTTCATCTTGTAACTTTCTAAATCTTTAAGTGGCCTGTACAATAATCATCTCTTGTTTTACAGCATGCATGAACTTCTTGAAGCTATGCAAGATGAAATATTACAACTTGAACTTAATCTTCAGTGTAGAACGCAACTTCATTGCCCAAATGGGTGACCCATCGGCAACTGGACGTGGAGGTGAGACCTTAACCTTTGTTATCTAGAGTGTGTTGTAGTTGTGATTACAAAGTACAGTACAGTACATCTTCTTGCTTGATGAAGAAAAAATTTGAATGAAATAGTAAAAGTTAATTCACTTGTATCCTTGTATGGCAGAACAATAATCTTATAAAGGAAGGTTGGGATTAATTCCATCACCACAAAAAAATTTCCTTATTGAAGTTTAATTAACTCAAGATATGTTCAGTTGGCATCATAGGAAATGAGAAAATTTGTGTCCGATAGAGAGATCTGGCATCTCGTCAAGGTAGTAGGTAGTATTTATTTATTCCTGGTTGACTTTGGAAATAAGGAAATATAATTAATCTGTATTTTGTGAGAAGGGAGTAAAGTTTGTGAAGCATTAATCTTGTATAATATAAAAGCTGTTTAGTTTGAGAATGTTAATTGTTAGACAACAGATGGAGTTTCAAGGTATAGTATACTGTAGTAGATTGCTTGTACTGAAAGAGAGAACAATTATTACAGTAAAATCACAACTGTATGTACTGTAATACCATTTTACCAGAAATGCTGGTTTTATGAAAGGAAAGTTGCTGGTATGCACAGAATTTAATAACTTTTATTATTGAAAGATAAATTGTAGATCCTTTTTACAGCAAACATAATTATGTATAGATATTTTTAAGCACTTTAGATTTTGGTAATGTTGTAATGTTGATTGTTTGATGAGAAGGAGACTACTGAGGGGGATTAGCATATGAACTTCCTTATATGGATGAAGAGAGTTTGAGGCACATTGAGACAACCACTGATGCAAATAGGAGGTATGTGACCCTGACCCATTTGAAACTTTGGGTATATCTTGATGCTCACACCAGAGAACAACATTTGGAATTTTCACTTGATATTGTGTCTTGCCACAAAATATGTAGACTCAAGCTCATGGGCTGCTTTTCTCGGGAGTGTTTAGCAATGTGGATCTCGGTGGTCACTCGCTGTTTAACTATAGGTCATAGAAATAAATTGGAGAGAGCAGGTGTGAGAGCCTAAGGGTAGAGTATAGTGTTTATGTGTAGCTGATGGATGGAGACAAGTGAGTTTTGGGGGATATAAATGACAAATCAGGACTTTTATTATGACTTGGCTTGATTGAAGAATGCAGTATGATATCTTTGTCTCATTTTTCATTCAGATTTGGCTTAAATTTACCATATTATTATCTGCGACATATTTTATTACACTTTCTTTTTTCCCCCTTAGGTGAATGTGTATTTCAGAAGATGTTTGGAGAACAAGCAAGGTTCTATGAAGGAGAGAAACTGCCACTCCTCAAGCACACACAGATCGGTACCGTCTCCATGGTTTCCTGCGGCAGCCACTTGTAAGATACAGTATATGTTATTTGTAGTTAAACCACTCATTCTGGAAGTGTTTATATATACTGTATAGGGTAATGAAAGGGATTTTGTAGCACAAGACTCTGTGCAGTCTACACTATTCATTTGAACATTCCTCAATGTCTGCCAACAAAGTATAGTTCAAGGATTACTCTCCCAATTTACTTACATTACTGGACGTTTATTCATCAGTTCATCAGCACATCATTATTACCCTAGTATTAACACTACTGTACTTAGCTGTGTTTTCTTGGGTTACTATTTCTCAACTTTGTGTATCTATGTAACAAAAATTAATTTCATTATAATTCAAGAAAAACATCATCCTGGTGAACTACTGTAGCTGTAGTTCCAGCCATCACTGATTTGAAAGGTTGTGTTTGATTTTCCAGATACTAGAAGAGTAAAGTCTTGACTTATGCAAACTCTTTTTCTGCAGATGCAGTACAACTGAATGTTTAGACAAACAAATTGAGTTACACAACCTCTACTCTCCATAACATTAGCTTTGTTACTGTAAATTATAGAAATGCTGTACATGAAATATGAAAAATTTTAACATATGTCAAAAAATGGGAATATTAAGTTATCTCCCTAAATCCTATGTGAAGTTAACTTTAAAGATCAAACAAACAACTTAGTACAATACTCACAAATGAGGATGTTGAAGGATGCTTGATGAGTTGGAGTGAGTAGAATACTGTAAGTGTATTGGAGCCAGAAGGAGGAAAAGTGTGGACCCTTTTCCTCTATCTTATACTAATCCTTCACCACCTTCTGTCCTTATATTTTCAAACAATCTATGTGTCTTAGCTTATACCACAGCCAGACTGAGAGGTACACTATGTTGGTTCTAGTTGTCAATCCAAACTGAAAAAAGGTGTTTTATATTCTCCATTAGGAAGAAATTAATGTTTAACAGTAATATAATGAATGCTGTCTAAATGTATTTTCTTCTTGACAGGTTTGGGTCACAGTTTTTCATAACCTTGGGTGAAAACTTAGACTCACTGGATGCTGAGCACTTAGTATTTGGACAAGTTGTTGAAGGGCTGGAAGTAATATGTAAGCTAAATCAAACCTTAACCGATGAAAAAAACCGCCCATATCAAGATATACGTATTTCCCATACCGTTGTTTTGGAAGATCCTTACCCAGATCCCAAAGATATTGAATTTCCTGACGAGTCTCCAAAGCCTACCAGAGAAGTATTTGAGTCCGACTACATTGCAGCAGATGAGACTATCGACGACACCGAAGGCAAGACAATGGTGGAAATACGGGAAGAAATTGAAGAAAGGGAAGCCAAAGCTAGAGCTACAATCCTCGAGATGGTTGGTGACTTACCAGATGCTGAAATGGCACCTCCAGAAAACGTCCTCTTTGTATGTAAGTTGAATCCAGTTACAACTTCAGAAGATTTAGAAATTATATTCAGCAGGTTTGGGAAGATTAAGTCATGTGAGGTAATACGTGACAAGTTGACAAATAATTCCCTTCATTATGCATTCATAGAATTTAATGAGACCAAATCTTGTGAAGATGCATATTTTAAGATGGATAATGTTTTAATTGATGACCGTAGAATACATGTAGACTTCAGTCAGTCAGTTTCAAAGATAAAGTGGAGAGGTAAGGGGCGAGGAGTGGAGTTCTTTGATGACAGCGGGCGGAAAATTGACGAGAAGAAGGGTCAGTCATTTGATCTGAATAAAGAATACAGTAACCAATCAAAGAACAGGAATAGAAATAACACGAAAGGTCAGTACTGGAATAGAGATTCACGACAATCAGATCACGGACGCTCTCAAGTATGGGGCCGGAATGCAAGATCCCCTCCTCAGAAACAACAGTCGTGGGAGGGTAACAGTAGTCAACACCACAGGGACAGACATGACGAGGCAAAACACTTCCCACGAGATGAGAAAAATGGCAGGAATGTACATAAAGATAACTGGAGGATGGAGAGAGATAAAAGACATGAAACTGCTAAGAGAAGTCATAACGAGGTGGATGATAGTGATGATGTGCCGAGTGATGAAGAAGCCAGGGAGAAAATGCTCAAACATCTGAAGAAGTCGCTGAAGAAGAAGAAGAAGAAAAATAAGAAGTATAGTAGTGATAGTGATGCTGACAGCTCAGAGACAGAAAAAAAGAAGAAGAAAAATAAGAAGAAGAAAAAGAAAAAGAAAAATAGTGATAGTGAGAAAGATTCTGATTCAGACTCAGAACCAAAGAAGAAATGTAAGAAAAGTAAAAAGAAAAAGAAAAAAAAGAAGAAAGAAAGTTCCACATCAGACAGCTCTGATTAGCTTTAAATTTTGCAATACAATGCTGTACAGTGGAAACCTCTGAAAACTTTTGAATGCTGACTCACTCTTGAATTCTAATGCATGAGTAAACATACTGTGGGTAGAGCATTCACCGCAGAATGAAAGATTGGGTTTCTGTTTGCCCACTAGTCTCTTGCACTGAGCAGTGACTCGGTACATTATCGGGTACTCTGTCATTGGTGGAATGACCCTTCAGTGGACTAGCATCCTGCCAGTGGGGTGGGTTTACTTACTAGCTGGCTGATGACTGCCAAGTCAGGAGACCAGTACAGTACCTACGGCCACCCACCTTGCATCATAATAGGGGTGGTCTTGTATACTGTACATGAAAAAAAGTAAACTTTAATGTAAAAGTTCTTTCACTTGGATTAATAGATTAAGTAATTTCTTCATCCTTTTAAGAATGAAAGGCTGTGTGTGTATATATATATATTTATATATACACAAATGCTGCACAGTACATACGTATATATATACTGGCAGAAATTTCACTTCATTTTATAATATAAAAGTTATTTTACAAATTATAAAAGATAAATTTTAAAATAACGGCAAATGTATTTTTCAACAATAATTTCATACTATTGTACTGATAATAGCAAGTTTGTAAACTTAAGTATTGTGACAATAATGATGATGTTACCATTGATGTCATAAATTTCAGAAATTGAATAAATTTCCAAACTGGAAATATTTGTTTTCTTTTTCTTTTGAGAAATTTTTTCAATATCAGTATGGATAGGATAGGTTAGGTTAACTTAGTCAGAAAGAAGACCATCTTAGTAACACATTTTATAGTCTGCCCACCATGTATTGGCATATGGCTGCCGTACCTACACCATACATCCTATGTAGCAATATAAAGGCCCAATAAGGTTTCTGAACGATGAAAAAAATGATATGAGCATTGAGAAATGGGTACACAATAATGAAACACTGGTGTAAGTTTTAGATTTCTTAGTCCCCCAAAAAGTACAGTACAGTAATCCCTTAGCGGCACAGAGTGCAAAAACACCTGCAGGACATCAGACAAAATTATAGTTCTCCCTGACATGTGTATACATCGTTTTCTCTTGACATATAATGATAGAAAATGGTTTGTTTAGCGGTATAACTAATATCAACCTCTATACTCTTCTAGCAACTGAATTTCGAGAATTTTTTGTGATGACGTAAGCCTCTCTCAGTGGTAGAACGTAATTAGAGAGTTTAACTACCTTAAAGTATTTTTAAAATATCTCATAGAAATGGAAATTAAAGATGCTTAATTATGGAGAAATTAAAAAAAAAAACGATTTTTCGTGAAACGGCCCGCTAAGTTACTGAGTCAATAAATTAATTCAGGCAAATTTCATAGTCATTCATACATGTTCATGTTACTCGAAGCCTTTGGAAAGACCTCCAATTTATTCATAAATCACAAGAGTTGACCAGCATAAATATACTGTATCAATATTCATGCTTCAATCTACTGTATATCAGTCAAAGTATACATAGAAGACGTTCTTTCTGATATTATACTTGTAAATTTTAATACATTCGGGATATTTTGGCATTTAATAATATATTCCGAGTTTTTTGTTCATTCCGAGTCTTCCTACAGAGTGACAAGGGGGTAGTAATTATTTACGTCGTTTAGATATATAATCAAGTCAATAATACATTTGATGAAAATTGTATTTATGTATAATATTCAAAGTGTTTTACATGTGTTTTTTAACTTTATTTTTTCATAACTTCAACAATAACAATTAAACATAACTGTTCCATATTTAGTTCCTTGTTCCCTAAAGCTAAAGTTAAACTCTTTTATGGTTCCAGTAATATTACATCATTGTACAAACGATTATAAAACTTTAGAGAAAATAAATACCAACTTTATATCTATATTAAATTATAATTAATTCTTTAGAACAAAAATAATATATATATTTTATGTAAATACCCCAAAATTCTGTAGATGGAAATATTTTATAAGACTTCGTATATTGTTGACATCCATCCTATTAGTTTACTATTGATCTGTTTCATGAGTACAGCCCATGCATAGTACTCGGTTATCCTCCACTGACAACCCTGGTTTAGGTATGATATTAATAAATCACTCTTATATGATTGGTAATGAAGCGTTAGTTGTCGTAAAAGAAATATTCAAGCCTTCGTAATGTTGAAAATGGTTATAAGGGAATACGATAATTCTCAAATGTCTGGTGAAGGAAGTGGCAAGTAATCCAACAACTTAATAATATATTCCATCTAAAGGGCTACTAATAATGTATTCAACAAGAGAGTTTTACTAGATAGTAATTCCATCTGGTGTTTGATGTTTCTCTTTTTTTATATCGTACTGTTGTGACACTTGTTTGAGTGAAGAAAACCTTAGGCCGCCACGAGTCACAGCTCTCGATTTATATCCAATTTAAACAAAGTTAAGACTAAGTGTTTCTGTAAGTTGTGTGGTGATGGGGGTGATAGAGTTGTGTAGAGTTAAGGAGACGTGATAAAATTATAGGCAAAGATTCAGAATAAGGAGAAAAGTATATTGGATATAATACCATAACTCGTGATGGGTGGGACGTGTTTATGTTATGTAATCATTGTTGTGGGTGGATTTATTGGCGGTTTTGTCTCATTTGGGTGTAGGTTCATGCCATTTGGTGAAAACAGTGTGTACTCTAGTCCATCCTTTTAAATTTGTCACATCCCCGGCAATGTTTTTAATGTTTAGAGGGGTGTGGTTAGGTTATATAGTGTTTCATTGTTAGTTTTGCCTTTTTGTTATGATTTTTAGTACTTGTAATGTGTGCACTAAATACGTGTTGGTCCTTTTTCAAACATAGTGGTTCAGAACAATTGACCCCATTTTGACTGAGCACAGATTTCAAGTGTTTGGGGGTATTGAAGGCAGAATGTTAAGTTAGGTATTTTATATATATATATATATATATATATATATATATATATATATATATATATATATATATATATATATATATATATATATATATATATATATATATATATATATATATTAATTCTTGGTGAGTGATACAAATGCCGATAATTCTTCTAACAAGGATTTCAATGTTGAAGAAACTGATGGCATATGAGGGAGTGATTAAGGTGTGTTGGTGGTACAGTGGTATTGTATACAATGCGTGTATCTGTCACTACTCTTGTTTTGTGTTCGAGTTCTGGCTTGGGACAGATGGGAAGGGCGTTATCCGGTGTGACCCCCAGATTTGACATACACGCTATGTTCCAGGAAGCTTTCCCTATGTAAAGTGAGGGACCATTGTACAGTAATTTAGGTATATAATACGGTACAATACACTCACAACTGTTACGGACATTTTGATAACACTAGGGAGTTTACCCCTTTTATGTTATATGAGGTTTGTGATTACTTTTTTAACACAAGTAACCAATAGTGATGCACTGGTTTTAAGCAAACATGTTTGTTAAAGATGATCATTAATGTCGGTGACTTACTTGAACATGCTTTTCTAAACTGTGTATGTTTTGATGACTTTCAGACTCTGTGAGATAATGTGCAAGAGATTAAAGATGCAAGGAGTTGAGCCCTTGGACAATGCTTGCTGATGTTTCTCATGAACCTGTAGGCCATGACATCTCTCACAACACCAACAGTTGGCAAAGTAAGGCTCACATAAGCTTGTTGAAAACTTCATAAGTCATTTGCTTTTACAATGTTAGTTATTGTATGAATCTACACATTTTAATCAATTTCACAGATGTTAGAGTTACTTTGGACTAGTAATGTAATTTGGACCAAAACAATCCTATAGCTGTCTCACGTTTATGTTGGTTCAGGCAGAAGACAAAAACCCAGAAGAAATAGCACACAAAGACACTTTTCAGGGTTATAATATGGTTCTGTTGATTAGTATAATTTTATTTTATAACCTAATGTTTTGGTTGTGTGACTAACATATTAACATGGGAACCCTCTTCATTAGTGGCTTGTACTACTTTATTCATTGATCACTTTGTACCTTCTTCTTACCAATACATCTAGGGACAGTGTTTTAAAAGTCTTGTATGCAACAGTCACTAATCAAGGTTGAACGCATTGAGTTTAGCCACCACTAATGTGTGCGCTCGGTGACTGTCATTTGGCTCAAGTTATCGGTATGAACTTCCATTTTCTGCGTTGACACTTTACTGCTTGTCTATATCTTCTAAGCATTAGTAACAGTGAAGGTGTGTTTATTACCTTTGTTATTTTCATGTTGTAAGAGTGTTTACAGTTACTTGATGGCATAGCTTGATGTTAGTTGGTGTGTCACTATGTGGGGCCAATAACCCAGTACCACATTAAGAGAAAACCTTATTTCACAGTGCATAGCTCAACCTTTTCTGTGTGATTGGCTGAATTCAGAAGAATTTATCTGGCCTATGGTAAGGGGGTACCCTGGTGTGGTTTGACATGTAATTACAGAACATTCTACAGTACATATTTTACATGTTGGTTGGGGATACTTTAGGTGTTCAGCATAGTAGTGATCAGACCTGTATACAGTATATCAATTCCTTTTGAGATTTATTTTGTGCTCTTTTGTGTTGGGTATCAGGACAGAGAATCTTTCAAGGGCGTGACAGGTAGTCAGTGCTATACTGCATTGGGTCGTATTCTTGGAGCATTCATATTTTTTACGCATTTCCTATGGGGGCTATAGGTACAGTACATTGTGGGCTTGCTGTTGTTGGTCATGGTGAGGTGTTTGCTAGTTTTCTCTTCAACTTGAACTTGTGTACTTATGTAGATTATGAAGTAAATTCATTTACAAATTTACGGGTGGAAAAATCTTAGTTACCCTTGCTGGCCAGCCGGGCCAGTTTCCAAAGCCGAGTCTACTGGCATGGAAATCTTTCAGCTGACCCTGAAAGAGAATGCTTTGGCATCTCTCATAGTTCCTGTTTGTTTCTGAACTCTGTTTATAGTGTGTGTGTGGCCTTCACAATAATCGTGGGTTTTTATTAACTTGTTTGAAAACATCTGTTCCCATGAAAGTTTCTTATTGTTGCTGCTTGTCATTTGTCGAGTGTACACAGCTAAAGCTGCAATACATATGATTCTCCTGTTCATTATACACCAGCCACAGATGCAGAGCTCCATCCTCTGCCTTCTGCCACAAATCGTGCTGGTTGTTAAACCAGTGACTGGTTGACTGTATAAAACATGAGTCAACCAATCCATGCTTGGTTATAAAATTTAATTTTAGTGTAATTTCCTCATTCAATTTGAATTATCCAATGATAAGTGAGGTTTTACTGTACACTTTACAGTAATATAAGAACCAGGAAAGTTTGCCTCATGATCTAAGTTTCACACTGTTGTGACAGAATAGACCAGGAAAGAATACAAATTTGAGTTCTGTAATAGATAATTTATATCAGCAATTGGACATAAAGGCTGCAGAATATACTTCCAACCAGAATTTTGTTGTTGTCTTATGATAATGGTCTAGTGAGTTTATGCAAGTATTGTACTGTACTATTGAAATAGTTTTGTGTACAGGTAATTTGAATCCTGGATTATTTGTGTTGAGATGAGCAATAGCATGAAAGCAACATGATTACATGTATATTTTGTATCTTTTTCAGATGGTTTAGATGGTAGTGTGGGGGGCAGTGGTGGCAGTAGCACTGGGGGGATGACAACGATGTCTCGCTGTCCAGATGCACCGCCCAGTCCTGAACCTGCTACCAATGCCCCCTATACCCCTGCATCGTCTTGCTTCCTAACACTCAGTCGTAGTTGCATAGGGGCAAGTGCAAATGAAAATGTGACTGTCAGATGGAATTTGCTACAAGATCAAGCTGCTCCGACTGATTGGCTTGGGCTCTATGTAGCGGGTGAGTAGAGACTTTAATGTTGACACACTGATTATTATGCAGTAGTTCAAACATTATTACACTGTTGTAATTGTAGAGCACAGAACTGAAGTAGGACAGACAGCATAAATGAAAAACAGGGAAAGGTGCAGTTAAAGTTTGCGAACCTTCAAATTACCATAACTTTGGAACCAGTGTAGAAATTAAAATGATTCAAGTGGCAGCTTGTAGCCTTGTTAGTGCAGAATTAATTGATACTGGTGAAAGACTCCAGAGATATTGTTTTCAGGCATACTGGTGCTTATCCTACATTGGTTCTTTGCTCCTCAATTACCCTCCTGGCTCAACAACCCGCCCAAAGAATCATAAGGTGAACATAATACAAAGACAAGAGACAAGACAACCTGCTTTATTTATTTTTTTAGCTTCCACGACAGGCTGCAAATCCACATACAATTCTGCTGTATTAACCAAGTTGCTGCCTGTTTAGATGTAGGCAAAGGACTGTACAGTATTAACTCCACAGCCTTCTCCGGGGTAGATGACTCTAGGGTCACGGAGGTCAAGGAGAGAAGATGACTCTGGTGGTTGAATGTACAGTACACGGGTGCATTCAGAATGATAAGAAAATAGCTATTAAAGTTACATTATTTATATCATTGTAAAAGACCCTGTGTGTGTGTGTCAGTCTGTTAGTGTCATAGCTCCAAGACCATGAAACCTAGAGACCTGAAACTTAATATGCATACTAATGGGACCCTGGAAATTTGCACCTGGGTTTTCTTTTTGTATTTGTGTTGGTTCGTAAAAATCCCGATCCTCTTTGTGCATGAAGCTACATGTAACCAGGAAGGATTTGTCTCCTACCACCCAAACACTTTTTTTGTTGGATTTGGTTAAGTTGGTTGGGTTAGTTTAGGTATGGTTGGGTTGGATTAGTAGCTTGGGTTAGTTTAGGTAAGGTTGAGTCAGGTTAGTTATATTGGGTCAGATCAGGTTAAGTTAAAATTGAGTTAGAACTTCAAACGTTCCTAGATAGAATCATGGAGGATCTTGGAGGTGCATGATGGTTGGAAGGATGATTCAGACTGAGAGAGACAGACCTGCGTGGTAAACTTTAATTGCCTGTTGGTGTCATAGACCGGGAGCCAGGGCCGGATTTACCAATAGGCCAAGTAGGCCATTGGCCTAGGGGCCACCGGTATCTGGGGGCATTACCTAATACCTGACCATTGTGGACCTGGTCTCACCCTCCTCTGTATATATACACCTTGTTTTGTACTCCTCTTTAGTCTGTACTCACCCCTGAAGATGTGAATTACACGAAAGCACTTGGGAACTTCGTGTTTTCTTCTTTCCTTGTGGTTATCAGTATATATATATATATATAATATATATATATATATATATAATATATATATATATATATATATATATATATATATATATATATATATATATATATATATATATATATATATATATATATATATATATAATAGTGCATTTTTGGCTCTAGTTATGACAAATGTTAGTCGTGAAACAATCATCGTTTTCTATGAGTAACATTTTTTTAGTTTGTCCAGTTCGTTCTCAATACGTTCTCTCTGAGTAGTAACTTCACTCAGAAGAGGTGGCGCTGTAATAAAATTTTGGGACCTTTCTGAAAATAATGGGAATATGTCAGTTGAGCTTCCTTATTTGATATATATACTGGATGTACAGTATATTGCCTATATTTTTTCCTCTTTTCCTGGTCCACTCTTCTCCTCACGTCCATCCATTAGCTTAGATATGCTTGTGTTAGTAATGCAATAGTATTAACGATGAATTGCACCAAACTTGCCAATATGGTATACTTAAATCCTTGATCACTGCATTGTATTTAGAGATGCGTGAGCATTGTACTTAATGGTGAAGTGGATATGGATGGGAATGCATGGATGGAAATTTAAGGAGATTATCTGTCGGGTAAGTGGATAATAATTTATTAAATCAAAATGGATTTGTGGATGGGATGCAACTACCACACTCGTGTTGGAGAAAGGAATGGAGGTATTAGAGTAGAAAGTTGGGTTTCCACAGAGTTCATTATTGTGTAGGTGTTGGGGACAGTCGTACCAGGATGTAGTTAATTCTTGTTGTCTTTTATTGCTCTCGTGTCTCCGGAGTTTGATTATGTATATAGTATTTTACTCTCTCTCTCTCTCTGCTCAAAACTGAAATTTGCGCCATAAGGATATGTTAAGCCAAATTTGCGTAAAGACTATTAAGCTATTAATAAGACGGGAACATTGGTGCGTTGACGTTAAAATGTTACTGTGTTTAGTCATCTGATGTGTTTAAGCTCTTGTAAATAGGTTAGGGTTAGTAATAACATTAGTCTATCAACAATTAGAAATCATGAGATACTGGAATGCCGCAAATAGAATATACTTGGGTGAGTTAGGTTAGGTGAGATTTTTGTTAAGTTAGTCGGACAAAACTTTACGTAATCTTACCTGACCTAATTTTATGCCGTCACTTGTGCTTGTTAGTGGTATGATATGACTACCTAACTAAGGTTATGTAATGTTTAATTGATGATAACCTAACAAAGTTTGTTTAATGTTCCGTTTTATCCGTTATGTTGTGCCTATGCGTCAAACGCGGACTTAAATACTACCACAGCGAAATGGTACTCTGGAAACATGGGGAAATATTAACAGAGAACGGATACTCACCCTCAAACACCCGCTACAAAATAAAATTTGCGGAACACAAACATACTGTACGCTCAATAAAGCAACCACACTATTGCCGACAGCATTAACTAATGACATATTTCGTTTAAACAAGAACAATCGTAGGAACAACACTAGAAACAACGATAACAATGCAGCCGGGAAATGACGCATGGACTCTCCTACCTCCAGAATATCCGGGCTGCTACCTCCCACCCCCTCTCCTGCACGTCAGGTTCTGCGACACCACATCGTAACATTAATCAGTTTAGGTCTCATTTAGCTCCTGTGTGCGTGTATATACCTTACTATACCTATATACTTGTCTCGTTCTGTCCCAGGTTTAAATATTAGAATGATACAAGTTTTCTCTGTGACTTTCATGTATTGGAGAGAGTTGGGCGGTGCTGACAGGCGTGTGAGGGAGTGAGAAAGTTTTGATCCTCTTCATTGTTCTCCCACTTTTTACTGATATGATGATATTGCGATGGCGGTAAGCCGGATGGTATGAAGTCATGTGATATACTGTAACTATTAGGGGAATTTATTTTGGTGAATTGGTTGGCGGGAGCCCATATTTCGCTGCAGACCACGAATAATGGGATCACATGCAGATTAGACACCATAGCTTGTTTCACCTGATGATTAAACACCCCTAGTGCTAACCTAACCCTTCCAAGTAGGATTAAAGCATTTATCCATCACGTGAAAAAAAGCTAGGGTGCCTAATCGTTGGGTGATCCGGGTAACGACGCTGGGATATTAGTAGTATAGGTTGCACCACCAAGACTCGCTGTTGGGAGTTGATGTAATGTGCCTTGGTTCAGGGTACTTGATGTTGGGAATACTAAGAGATTGTTTGGTTGTTAAGTGTTGCCAGCCGTGTGTGTGTGTGTGTGTGTGTAAGTCACGATGCATCAGGTAACCAAGGTCGTCAAACACATGCGGTGGGCGTATAAGGAGGAGGGGGTCACGGGCTGTTCACCACTACGTTATACGCCCATGCTATGCCACTGCCGCCTTTTTGTCTTGTACGTCATGTGTGTTTCAGAGGCAGGTGTCATGGCCCACAATTGCGATACAGAGGTTAGGTTAGACAATCTTTATTTTTTCCTTAGAGATGAGAACAGGATAACTTAAATAAAGATACAGCATAAACATGACGTCCATTATGAAGTATATAATGTATAGTACTAAAAAATTGCCAGAGTTAGTTACTGGGAATACTTAAACTTACGAGTCTTTCAGAATTCTTGAGGCATTTACCCATAAGTAACGAACATACTCCAGCCTCGTGTCTTAATTATAGTTTTTGTTATGTAATGAATATATATCACGTTACGTTGGGATAATTGCGAAGTAACCCATTTATATTTAGTCTTTTATTTATCGATAATTGAACTTAACCTTTTCTTTTAAGTCTAGTTTGGTTTTGTTGTGATAATGTACGACGTCTTTTATGAAACAGTAAACATGAACATTTGCGAATTAAGTTCTACTGGGTTTCAGTAATAAGAACAAGAACGTTATAGTTACGTTTTAAGGCTTCATCGAATGGGTATGAATATCCCTATGTACACACACACACACACACACAAACGCGCGCGCTTACACGTTTAAATTTACAAGTGATATTGCCTTGACTTGTTGCTTTTAGTCTCCGTTTAAACGATGCGTGGAAATGGTGTAGCCTACTGCACTGTACTGATAAAAGCACGCCGGACAAGATCCTCACGATTCACACTTCATAATTTACTATTAAACATTACCACCACAAAAATAATAATAATGTAGGGGAAAAAACATGGCGTCTTTTTTCTTATTTTTTTAATATTATTTTAAAAGTTATGTTTAATTAGACTTGGTGAGATTCAAGGTAGGTATAGTTAGGTTAGGTAAAAGTCAAGTTTGGTGACATTGGGCGTAAGTTAAACCAAGACAAGGTTATGTTTTACCTCGGGAGGAGTGGAGGGAAGAGAGGGGGAAGAGATGTTATCATATAATCACGGAAGAGACGAACAAGATACTGCGGTAGAATTCGTCGAAAACATATCCACCACCTCCCTGCCACACACACACGGACGCCTGCGGACACTACCACGACACCAGCTCTTTCTTATCCAGTTTCCTCCTTGTATACCGGAGAATTTCTTTCGTCATATCCGTGTTTGTGGTTTCCTGGAGGTGCGGGAAAAGGGGAGGGGCGGACCGGGGCATTGGGTGGGATTAGCATGTCGAAGGATAGGAGAAATAGAGTGGGGAAGGATTATAATTCGCAAATGTTAGGGTGAAAGTGGT